TTCGAATCGGGAAAGGGAACCAAACTCGATTCGCCGATAGCGAGTTCGAGTAGAAAACGAAGTCATTGAGACAGACACCCATCTGTGGTCCTAGAAAAGACAGCAAAACAACAGAGATAAAGATAACATATTTTAAAAGAAGCTTGCGCAAGATCAGTTTGCTTTGGGACACAGCGAGTTATTACACGGCTGTATTGATAGTGCTGCAGCTCGACACCTAAACGCGCATAACTATTTAGAAGGGCTGGGTCAAATGAAAATGCTGCGGATTCAAGAAAAAAGGTAACAACAAGAAAATAGAATATAAACAGCGACACTGGTGAGCCTTCTAGCATTCTTGTAAGATGGCAACGGTTCTTCGGGTGAAAAAACGGATGTTACGTCTGAATGCGCTCTTGCAAAACATGATATATGTTGAAGTCAATTTGTAGACCCAAATAGTGCGAATACAGAACTTCGTAGTTATAGTACAGGCTTCCAGAATCGGCAGGGGCATCGATCTGCACATGTTTCCCGTCAACGGCCCCCACGCAATGAGGAACATTCCATTTGTGCCCCTCGGCAATTTCCTCCGTCTGTGACGCTTGGGAGCTTAAAGTACGGCACAAAGTTCACATATGATTTTAAGTTGTTATTTCAAGGCAGTTCACGTGTTCTTACTTTATGTAGAGTGATACTGGCATACATGCATTCTCAAATATGAGAAATACTTGTTGGAGCTTAACAATTGCGAATACTTTTGAAACTGAATCTAAAAAGCAGTGTGGCTGTGCACTGCAGAGTTGTACGTAATCCGTTACAAGTAACGAAATTACTTGTAATCCCTTACATTTATCAGTAATTTAGTAACGGAATAATTACATATTTTCTAGAGTAATTTTAAAGTAATTCCCTTACATTTTTTACGTAACGAATTCCTTGTAATCCGTTACATTTTATTTTTTTTTTAGGACCGACCCTCCCTTTCCCCCTCTTTCTAAAGAAAGGGATGTCTTTATTTTGGTAAAGTTGAGCGCAATAGCACTGTCACGCGAATTGACCAGCGCAAAAGGAGGCTTGGCACTCTTCAGTTCCGTAAAGCCTTTTTTGCGACGCGAAGACCCCGAACCTATTTTTTAGACCCTAACAACAATGTAAAAAACTCAAAATAGGCATTTCTGCAAAAAAAAAGAGGGATGAGGGAGGCAACTTTTATCCGCTTTTTTTAGTTCCTTTGTTTTTTCTTTGCGATCGAAGACGGGGAGAAGAAACACCAAGTGATTGTGTGCCTCTTCGAGAAGCTCAAGGTGTAAAGCGCGATCCAAACCAACGCTTCTTTTTGCGCCTGTAGGTCGTGCGGCTGCGGATGTGACGTATTTTCGTGACGTCGCGCCGCTTCTTCGCTCCTTCCGGGCGCGCATAAAAAAGTTGGTTGATTTCAACTTCTTTCTCAACGCGCACAAAAACGCGCGGTGACGTATAGGGCGCTCCTGTGTCCCGGCCAATCGGTGGAGGGCAAGCTAGTTCCGGCTCCGCCTTTCTCGCCGTCTGGCTGCCCCCTCTTCCCCCCCCCCCCCCCCTTTTATTCTCTTCCAACATGACAACGCGATCTCTCTCTCTCTCTCGCCGTCTGGCCGGCCAGTCTGTCGCAGTTGCACTTTGCTTGTGCGCTCGTGCCGAAGTTTCGCCCGTCCAAACCAAAGCGCACGGTTCTGACTCAGAAAGCGCGCCCGGAAACAGCAAAAACGCCACGAAATACGTCACATCCGCAGCCGCACGACCTACAGCCGCAAAAAGAAGCGTTGGTTTGGATCGCGCTTTAAGCGCCCATACCAGAATTAACAATATCCTTCTTGGTTATAGTGACTACGACCATGTTCATAATGACACAACACGAGACCCCCCCCCCCCCCAACGCTCCCTCTACCCTAAAATCCACTAAAAGAGATGTGATGATATTTGAAGGTGTTACTGCACATTCACCTTCTCTTAGAGAACACAATGTATATTTTCTGATTCTTTCATCTTAATGTCCTTGTTTTATAAGCTACTTATTTTTTGTAGTCCAACTCCTAGGGTTGGTCCACTTTATTTGTGAATTCCAGCCAGGTTATCTATTTCTCAGTCACCCTTTTTGTGAGTCAGCTTTTTTCGAGCACTTCGAAAATGGTAATAGTCTTCCTTTCTTTTTCTTTCTGTTTTTACCCCAGCAGGACGCATCATATCTCAAGCAGATATTTTTAGAAAGAAAACATAATGGGTGGCTGACGTGGGCTTGAGACTCAGCGCTTGAGGAGAGGGTGAAACTCGTGAATGGGGCCATAGCGCGGCTTACTTAGTACTCTGTCCTTTGCTACCCGTGGCATCAGCGGACGTCTATCTGGAGAACACAGGAATAAACTGCAGTCGGTCCGTGCTCCGTGCGTTTTTGCACGGCACCAAGAAGGGTACACAGAGCAAACGTGCGTTTACATTTCCTTGTTTTAACCGACGTTCTAAATAATTGTTATGAGTGTCCTTTTTTTCGATTACTTATATGTATATACTGGAAACTTTTGTTTATTCACCAACGTCTCAACCGAGGCCCGACCTGTTCAGAACCAAAGAAAGAAGAATATCGAGCCAAATCTTATTTATTATTTAATTATCACCTTACTGCTACAACTATGTTTTGCTATTGTCTGGCAACATATGCCGGTATAGTAAGATGGACATGAATCAATTGTTATTGTAGTTTTGGCTAGATGTATGATGACTTCTACAGCTTCGCGATTTTGATAATTAAGAATTTTAGTAGATCGGTTCGACTCCGCTAACGATACCCGATACTCCACCGCCGCCTTTGCGCATTCATTATATCGTTATCGGGGGCATCGGCGGTATCTGAACGATCTACTAAAACTCTCGGATATCAGGCAACGGCTGCAACGAGGAAGCTTTGCTCTATCTTCGAGGTAAACGGTACTTCCATTGCTTCGCTGAAGCTCAATGCAGAGCATGAAGCAATCGTGAGGCACAATATGCCACTCCCATCCTGTGGCTCAGCTCAAAGGGTGTTCAGCGTAACAGTCGACATATTGAGTAAGAAATAACGAAAAATGTCTGACCAGACTTTCGAGAGTCAGCTGTTGCTCAAAATACTCAAGGTCATTAAATGAAACAGGTTGCAACAATAAGAGCTTGAATAACCCTCTTCCTTTTGTTACTTAATTGAACACAATAATGTTGAAAGTAACGCCATGAAATTAACGGATTACTTTTTTGGATAACGGTCACTTACTTTTATGAAAAGGTAATTGTAATGGTAATAAATTACAATTTAGTCTTGAGTAAATGTAAATGTAATTCTTTACTATTTTTCAATAACGTGTACAAGTGTGTGTCTGTGTTTTTGTTCTTCCTCTCTTCGTTTATTCTACGTTCAGCTGAAAACTTTCAGTAGCATGTTTAGCAAACCAGGTCAACTCCAGGCACTCACACCTTACTTTTGTAAGCTAGCTATCATATCATGCCCAAGTTAGGCCAATGTCAGACTGCTTATTGGGGAGGAGATCGAACAGTCACGCCTCTAGCGGGATGCTTCAGCTGTGTGGGCAACAAACCGAATTTTGTTGTTTGTTTTCGATCTGAAAAATCGAAGATGCCGATTCGAAGGTCGCTCCTCGTGCGACCAAAGCACTGGTAGGAGCGAAAAGCTCGTGCCCAGACCATGCTAGGCGAGGTTCAATTTCTTTGTTTTTTTGTGTGTGTTAGTAAACACCGGGTTGTGTAGACAAAAGCTCGATAAGGCGCCCCTATAGGGAGTATTCACTGGGCGCCATATTTGTGGGTACTCTTCAGAGCGCATGCTCAGAACGAGCCCCCATTAATAGGCTGCTAAAACCGGCAGTCTTGAGGGTGCGGACAGCACGTTACAAAAGAACTGTGTAAACTTGCCATCAGCACGTGCTCAGCAGTCGCGCACACAGCTATGGCCGCCAGCCAATACAAAAGACAAAAAACAGTCTGCAAGCATCGATCAAACGCGTCTCACCGTCGCATCTGTGCTTCGTAAGCCGCGTGCCAAGCTACTCGTTGAATTGGTTGCCGTGCGACATACAAATAGGAGATGTTGTGGTGCCTCCCATTGGGGGAATCGGTGGCCAAGTGGACTAGCGCACAGCAGCTCGGAGCACGTGGTGCAAAAGCTCGCGCTGCGGAACCCAGCATCCTGGGTTCAATCTCCACTTCTGTCCGTTTTGATCTGTATGAGCATCGTACCGGCGTGTGGTCGTGTATCGCTACTGCGTGGTGCGCGTTAAACACCCCAGGCTAGCGGTTTTACCGCACTGGCTAAATTTCTCATCTGCAGCTGAAGCACCAGACGCCTACTGAGGCAGCACTTTAAGAAAGAAAGGGTGTAGTCGGGTGCATCAGGCGCACATGCACCCTTTCCTGAAAGATGCACCCTCCGTTACCTAGCCAGTCTACTTGTATACCGACAATGCGCGTCCTCCTCTCCCTTAAAAACCTCTAGGTGTATCGGTGCACCTCCACGCTAGCCACGCGCCCCGATCAGCTTGTGCTTGGATTCCCCCTTGGGGGTCACTTTTTGGGTTGGGCAATTTCTTAGGAAGTATGGAGTTGGTTCTGTTCACTCGGTGTTGACAGTAGAGGGGACACTATGCTTGTTTTAGGCCAATCGGGTCCCAGGGTAGGATCATGTGACTACAGTCTCCAAGCTAGAGATAAGGCAGAGCACAGCACCTGCCTGAAGGCCAAGGCCACGGATAGCGTCCACTGCACTATTAACTTTGGTTCGAACTTTCAAGAGGATAAAAGTGGCAAATCCTTTCGTTTTGTTCATTGTTGAGTTGCCCCTGAAGTTAAGCCTTTGCGAGGGCGCCCCCTTTTGGCCTTGAAGGAGGTGCTATTTTCCTTCCCCACTCTTTTTCTTTCTCTCCCTAAGCTGAACGTGTGGAAGACGGTGCACAGTCGCCGGACCAACGCACCGGAAGCTTTTCTAAAGGCCAGTTCAGACACTTGCGTTTGACTGCGGTGCGTTCGGCTACGGAAGCGCGACTGCGGACCGATGCGGAGTACGCTTGCGGAGAGCTTGTACACACAGTTGCGTCGAAGCGCCGTCCGCCGCAGTCAAGAACCAATAGGAGCTTGCTATCGGCTCTTGCGGCGCACCAATCGAAACCGCGACTTGCAGAGCGAATGAAGTCAAGCAACTATGATCACAACGAACATGGCGGCGTCCAGCGGTAGCGTCGCGACTTTTCCGTGTCCCCCCGGGTTGTCGAGGTTCCAACAAACAGAAAACCTCAGGAATCTCTTCCTGGACTGCGTGCGGGGCTACATTGCGCAGGCCGGCAGTGAGACGAACTGGCCCCTGGTTGTGCGGGCTACCACAGCCATGATCTTGCTCCAGCGACGGCGCCACCCCGGCCGCGAGTGGGTTCGATCACTCCTCCGCTCCCGCGAAACTTTCGGTGAATACCATCATTTAGTTCGCGACATGCGTTTGGACAACGGGCAAGACTTTTTTCTGTACTTCAGAATGACGAGGCAGAGGTGAGTATGTAGAAGAAACTTTGGTAAGAAGGATTTGTCCCAGTTTTTCATGTAGGGTTCTGCGGTGCATGGAGGTGCCGAATTTGCATCGCTAATTTTCTGCTGCCACGGTGTCACCCGATTTTGTAGGGTTTGGCACTATCCTTGTGGCTACCGCTAGAAATACAGCTGGATTACTAGCTGCCTTGCAAATTGCAAGAGGTGTCAAAAATGATTTGCTGGTCGCATAGCATTACTGAGTTTTGTTTTGACTTCCCTGCAATCACGCGCACTTCTGTTTTAGGTCATCGGCAATTACTCGGCGGTTTGACTTCAGTGACGGCGTTACTCAGTGACGGCGTTACGTTTCAGAACACCTCAGCAGTGTTCATGTATGAATCAAATGAGGAATTCCGTCTGACTAGTGCACGAGCGTATCTATAACACGAAATTATTTATGCAATAGAAGTGCATGTCATTGATGTAGTTGCGAAATGTTGAATTTGGGATGACGGCACAAGGTTTTTATCTTTAAAAAGCAGTAAGTGTTAGGCAGACCTATTGAGAATGTTTGAAGGTTATAACTGGGAGTGCAGTCTCCAGACATTATTTACATTCTAATGTTACTTAACACACTTTCACCAGTTCAGAGAACCAAACTTTTAGTTTAGCGCGCCTGCAAACCTCGATTTTTCTCTGCCTAGTCCTGCTCGAGGAATCGCATTACTTTCTACAAAGTGCATAATTCGATCACAGTATCTAGTAAGAGTAATGAAAGATAACAATTGTGAGGTTATTTACACTGTGCATTGTGTGCCTGCACCATAGTGCGAATAGCACAAACAAGCAATCTGTATTTTATATATTTTTAAAAAATTGTATCATCCAATTAAATTGTATCATCCAATATATTTTTAAAAATTGATCATCCAATTAATGTGGCAGACCGCGCTTACTCTGAGCACTATTCAAAGGATTTGAAGTTGTGGCTCCTGAATGTGTCGTCTCAGAAAATTGCAGAAAAGGACGGATGTCGTGTTCATGCTGTGTACATCCACTTAAATTGACACTTTTCTTTCTCTTTTTAATGCACAGCAACTGTTGGGTCGCCATCTTACCAAAATAAGACAGCAGAGCCTCCTATCTTTGTTTGCAACAATTATGAAATGCCCTGGTTTATAGGTCTCGAGGCATTCATGGTTATTGCAATAGCACTAAAACCTCTTGGTCTGCAGATTCGACCACCTCCTCTCGCTGGTCGGCCCCAGCCTACAGAAGGAGACAACCTTCTGGAGGGAGCCCATACCACCAGCTGAAAGGTTGGCCCTGACAATCAGGTATGTCATAGCTACTGCTCCACTAACGAGTTCTGTCACACAAGACGTGAGCACTATTTCAAAAATAGGCCCATACCTATTCGTTCAATTGGTGCAATCAACGTCCCCTCACCTTTGGCCGAGGGAAGAATAAAATCCTGATTTCTTAATTTCAGCTGTTGTTAAGGACTAATGAATTAATAGATAATATTAGTGGATTTGTTCACGATGGTTCAGTTTAGCGAACATGAAACGAAACAATGGTGTTTGAAAGCACAGCAGACATTGCTTTCAAAAGGGGTACAGTAAACAGAGAGACCTAAATATTGCCGCATGCGTGGCCGAGTGGCTCATGCACTTGGCTGTTACGCAAAGGGCCCTAGGTTTGATGCCTGGGAGCCTCACGTCACTTTAGTTAATTTGTTAGGAAGTTTTGAGCGAGTGATCATACTAGGTGCTTTCGGAAGCCATATGCACATGCCTCTGCCCGCATCACATACAACTTGCGACATGTAGTATAATGCTTATAATATAACCACTCTCTCTGCAGTTGCAACCAGTCATTTTGCATTTGTCTAGGCTACAGTTGCTTGTTAACATTTCAGGTACCTTGCTCATGGAGCATCCCAGGCCATCTGTGCGATGACCTTTCGGATAGGGCGGTCTACCGCAAGTGAGATCATCCAAGAGACCTGCGAGGCCCTGCGTGCAGTATTGGAACCCCTCTATCGCCCTGTAGGTACCCCATTTTCACCTCTTTTAAGGTAGAAAAACTTTGCTGCCAAAAGATATTTCTATTTTCTAAATCCTTTTGTGGTTTTGAGTGAACAAACAAAATGTATGCCACTGTATAACATTTTTAACCAACAGTTTCCCCACCTGCCTTGCCCTCAATGTCAAAAGCTCTGCTGGAAACCACGCATACTTTTGTGCAACAATCTTTTATTCAGTTTACTTTATGAAACATCTCGTCACATCAGATTGTTCCAGTTTGAAAACTGAACACGTCCGCCATCTTCACTAGCCACAATGTGACGTAAAATGTAGATGCTCGGCAAAAGCCAAAAAAAAAGAAGTAAAATGCAGGTTCACAGCAAAGCGACATACAATGTAAGTGCACACTGCCACTGGAGCACTTAGCTATGGCGGGCAAGCGCTATCCTGCACTCTGTCTCTCCAGCGTGCTGTGCCGCCAAAGCCACAACATTCGTAAGTTAATCAAGAGGATAAACTTCGCCTCTCTCTTCCTCATGTGAGCAGAAACTGTCAATTTAGATCTGCACGCTGCAGAGTCACCGTGCAGAGTGGTGTTTACCCTTCTGGGTGGCGCAAGAGCACCTTAACTCTGGCTGCACTGCACATTGTTAGTGCAGCAGAGTATTTATTTATTTATTTATTTATTGTACCCTCAGGGCCCGAAGGCATTACAGAGGGGGAGAGCGTAGGCAGGGAAAATATAACAATTCAGCAATACTAAAACAAATAAAAAGTGAACAAACAGGTCAGAAATCAGCGCAAAAATGGTTATTTATGGCACTTCGAAAAAGATTAGAGTCTGTTATGGCAGCAATTAAACCGGGAAGGTGGTTCCATTCTTGAGCTGTGCGTGGTAGAAAAGATGAATGAAATGTGTTGGTTAATGAGCTTGGGACTCCAACTTTGTGCTGGTGATCTACACGAGGCGAGATGTAATAGGGGGGAGTTATGAAATGGTCGCGTAATAGGGGATTATGAAAATAAATTTTATGAAAAAGGCATAAGCGTGAAATTTTACGGCGAAGTGAAAGAGATGGTAAAGATAAATTATTCTTCATTGACGAGACACTGGCGGTGCGGTGATAGTTCGATAGAATGAAACGAGCTGATCTATTTTGAATGGATTCTAAAGCAGTGATGAGGGTAATATGATCGGGATCCCAGATGGATGCTGCATACTCAAGCTTAGGTCTTATTAATGTTTTATAGAGGACCAATTTAAGTGAAACAGGTGCTAAAGAAAAATTCCGTTTTAAATAACCCAGCATGCAGTTAGTACGATTAGTGACATATTCTATATGGGGTTTCCATGAAAGGTTAGAAGTTAAGTTAACACCAAGATACTTGTATGACGACACTTGTTCCAAGGAGTTGCCATCAAGGTAGTAAGAAGGACTCTCACTAAACTGACGGGTTACTCTCATGTGTTTACATTTACTAGTGTTTAGTTTCATTAGCCACAACTCACACCAACGAGACACAGAGTTAATATCAGACTGAAGTGTGAGCGTGTCTTGGTTACTTCGGATTTCACGGTATATTACGCAATCATCGGCATAGAGACAGACGGATGATGACATATTAACTGGTAGGTCGTTAATATAAATTAAGAATAGTAAGGGGCCTAGAACAGACCCCTGGGGAACACCAGAGTTTACTGACGCAAGTGGAGAGTTTTCATTATTGACTGTTACAAATTGCGAACGATTAGTAAGAAAAGAATGAATCCATGCAAGAACGTTAGGGTCAATGTTAAGTTTAGCAAGTTTCAATAGTAATAGTTTATGACACACTTTATCAAAAGCTTTTGCAAAATCCAAGAAGATGCAGTCCACCTGGGAGCCTTGGTCAATGAGAGAATGAATGTCGTGAGTGAAAGATAGAAGCTGAGTTTCACATGACAATGATTTACGAAATCCGTGCTGAGCTGTGGTGAAAAAATTATTCATTTCTAGGAAGTTTACAAGATGGGAAAATATGATGTGCTCGAGAAGTTTACATGGGATGCTGGTTAACGAAATGGGACGATAGTTATGAGGAGAATGTTTGTCACCAGCTTTTGGAATAGGGACCACCTTCCCCACCTTCCAGTCCGAGGGTAGGTCACCCTCTTGGAGTGACTGTTCGAATAATTTAGCAAGAATAATTGAAGAATATAACTTGGTGCTTTTAAGAAATTTTGAATTAATGCCGTCCACTCCTGAATAAGAAGACAATTTCAGCCCATCTATAATCTTAACTATACCAATAGGGTCAACAAGAATAGCATCCATTGGTAAATAACCGGCACACACAATTGAAGGGTAGCTTATGTTACTAATATTGGAAAATGATTCAATAAACACATTATTTAGTATATTAGCGCAGTCATCACTAGAGGCACTATCACTACTTGACGTTTTGAGTAAAATTGAAAAAGTGTCTTTCTTGCTGACAGTGTTCCAAAACCTTTTGGGGTCATTTATTAACATATTTGGGAGAGTATTTGAAAAAAAAATTGTTTTCGCATCTGCAATCGCCTTTTTATATACTTCTGCAGACAACTGATACGCAGCCCAGCGATGCCCACACGTTGAAAACTTCGCAGCACGATATAAGCGTTTTTTTTTTATTTGATAACCGTTTTAGGGCTTTCGTAAACCATGGTGACTGGGTATTTTCGAATATATTTCTTAGTGGGACATGCTTGTTGATAAGAGAGATAAATTTCAACTTTATGATATTCCAGTTATCTTCGACAGAACGCCCCGAAGAAGTTGTTAGATACTGGTTCAAGAAAATGGCAAGGTCATTATTAATTTGCTCAAAGTTGGCCTTTCCGTAATCACGAATTTGTTTTGGCTGAAAAGTGGGTCTCGTTGCCGACGCTTTTAGAGAAAAATGCAGCACTTTGTGATCACTAATCTCGGGCAGATATGTTATGGGAGTTGCATACTCAGGATGATTGGTCAAAATGAGGTCTAATACATTGGCTGTCGACTGGGTAACTCTGGTGGGATGGAGAACAAGTTGTGAAAGGCTAAAATCTAGACATAGGTTAATAAACGAAATACATTCCTCAGAATGTACATTTACACAAGGAACGTCGTTTGACCATGATATAGATGGGAAATTGAAGTCGCCGAGAAGAAAAATTGGAGCACCCGGAAAACGCACCATAATGGTGTTAAGTGTATTATGTAACGCTTCGACAAATGGCAACGAATACGAGGGTGGCCGATAACAAACTCCCATAATCCACTTCTTATGGTTAACAAGCAGGCCAACCCACGTTATTTCCAACTCGCATATAACGTCCACAGAAAAGGATTTGATATGATCAGCGATTGCAATTAACACTCCACCGCCACATCTTTCCTGTCTATCATGTCTGTAAACATTGAACGTTTTGTTTCCATCGAACAGTTCACAGTTTTGTATTTTCCCGGAAAGCCACGTTTCGGTTAGTACAATGACATCAGCATCGGTGGTATCTACAATGGAACACAATTCGTCGCGTTTTTTCAGGACACTTCTTATGTTGGTGAAAACAACAGAAATATCCGAAGACCGTGACACGCATGCCCTACCCCTCGACAGATCCTATATCGGCGAGGGCGCCTGATTAGAACTCCGAGCAAATGATGACGGTGATTGAGGGGCGGTTGGCTGCGCGTTGGGGGCTGCAGACAGTCGAGAAGGACCTAGCTCATAAATTTCTTTAGTTGTTTGATCGATCGCGTAACACTTGTTATTAATATGCAGTTTGTTGTAGCGTAGTTTAAATACACCTCCGTTTGCTTTACCAAATTCAATTAACTGCTTTCTGGCATTACGTGTGGCGAGCGAGAAATCCTCGCTGACTGAGATACGGAGTGCTTTTAATCCAGTTCTAGCGAGTAGTATTTGATCTCTTAGTTTGAATGACGCAAACTTTACAATGATTGGTCGGCATTTGTTTTGTGTAAAGTTTCCTAGCCGATGAGCACGAACTATCGAGTCACCCGTGATTTGTACATTGAGTGATGTTTGAAAAATACTCAAAATTCGTGCTTCAGTCTGCGCCCACGTCTCAGATACGGTGTCGCTAACCCCAAAAAATATTAAGTTATCTCGACGAGATTGGTCTTCCGCCTCGTCAAGCCGTGCCTGCAAGACGCGGTTTTCCTTTTGTGCGTTATTAGCAACACCTCTCACCTCGACTACCGCGGCTTTAAGCTGCTCTACATTTAAGGCATTGGATTCCACTGTGACGAGTCTCAAGTTCATATCAGCTACAGTAGCACGCAGTGATTCCTGGTTTTGTTTAATTTCGTTGATGGATGATAGGATTCCTGATTGGGATTCTTGAATTTGTACCGATCGTGTATTAAGATCGACCAGCATTCCATGCATTTCGTTAAACAGTTTTAGCTGGCTGTCACTCATTGGGCCTGGGTTAGTTTCCACATCCCCGGAAGTTAGTAGAAGCAGACTAATGACGTCAACACACTCATACAAGGTAACAAGCAGCACTTTTGAGCACGGGAACACCAGCAAAAAAACGACGCTAGATCGCTTTGCGTGTAGTGAAGGGGTTGTACCAACCTGTACGAACAAGAAGAGCGTTCCATGAGTTGTTTGCATGCTGGCGGTGCCCCCGTGCTCACTCCGAGTAGCGAGGTGATGCCAGGCGTATATAGCCGCGCTAAATGATGGTCGCGATGTCGTTGCGGCTGTTGACGATGACGGGAGGTCGAGCAATTGGCCAATGTTCGTACGGCGACTTGTCAGCAGAATAGACGTACTTTCACGAAGTAGGGAATCACCGTCACTGTGATTGAAGAAACTCGCCACGCGTACTTGACGAAATGTTGGCGCCGCTCCATCCACGGCTGTTATCGGCCCGAAAGCCGAGACTGAGATGCTTGCCATTACCTGTACGAACAAGAAGAGCGTTCCATGAGTTGTTTGCATGCTGGCGGTGCCCCCGTGCTCACTCCGAGTAGCGAGGTGATGCC